GATGCCCCCCACCCCTCCCTGGCCAGGTCCTGGGCGTGTCCACCGTCGATGTTACAGCCTCTTCAGGAAAGACAGTAGGTTGTATAGTTATTCCAGAGCAGGGCCGAGCCCCAAACTATACAACCTACTACCTCACCCCAAAGGGCGTCAGTCTTGGTGCCAGGACGGACTTCAGGGCTCCCGAGACACCCTGCAGGGGACAGGGGGACAGAGTTGTAGGCCAGGCCCAGAGGTGCTGAGGGCTCCGGATTCTGGCTGGAGGGTCAGCTCCTGGGAGCAGCCCCCCTGCAGAGCGGAGCCCAAAGGAGAAAACCACCAACGGGGGGGGAGGGGAAGACTGAGAGCCCGATGAAGTGGAGAGTTTGCTGAAGGGTGGCAGGGAGGCGAGGAGACTTGGCCTCAGGGGGAGGGCACAGCTTGGGCAGAGGTTTGGCAGCGGGACCATTAGGTCCTCACCTAAGGACCTCTGTGCCTGAAGGTGGCACCTGGAGCTGAATGGGAGGGACACAGCTCTGAGGACATCCCTCCCCATCATAAGGTTCTCCATGGCTCCCTAGTTCCCAGAGCAAGGCTGGTGGGAGGGGCTGCAGCAGTGCCAGGTGCCACCCATGCCATCCTGTGTGAGCCACCTGGGCATTCAGTGGGCACGGTCAGGGTAGAAGACTCCCTGGCCCGTCTCCTGCAGAGCGACCAAGGGCAAATCCTGGGGGCTCAGGCTGGGCAGGTGTGAGGTGCCCCTGCAGGGTGGGGACTGTCCCAGCCTAGGGCAGTGCCCTAACCCCGGCTCACCTTGAGGAAGACTGGCGGCCTCGGACTGGAGTCCCACCTCAGTGCCACTTTCCCACCTGTTGGATTTTAGAAAAAAGTAACAAGTCTCAGGTCTGGAATGAGGGCCTGGTGTCCCCACACAAATGCACCCTCTACTGCCCATCGGGGAGCTCATGCCTCAGGCCTGGAACTCCAGGCTCTGTGGCCGGTGGTGCGGCTGGTGTAAGCAGTGCCCAGGACCAGTGGCACCCTTCCTCTCCTCCGAGGGCCCCGGAGTCTCTCCCACCCTCAGCCACCCCCATCTCTCCAAGTGATCAGGAGGCAGAGATCATGACCCCCGCAGGGTCCTAGGGTCCCCGCTCTGGCTTTGCCCCCACAAAGCAAGAACTTACATGATCCTTGCCTCTTTTTTTAGCTGGATTTTTTGGGGGGGGGTAGGGTTGACATTTCTGAGTCGGTGGGGGAAAGCCCCAGATTCTGTGTGTTAGGGGGACACAACTTGCTGGTCCCACCAGCCCTGTGGTCCTAGGAGTAACCATGGGCCTCAGGCCTTGGGATGGCGAGGCTCCTGAGACAGACCCAAGGGACCCTCCCCAGCTGGCCTTGACAGGGCCAATGGCCACTGCTGGCAGTGCAGGGTGAAGGGGACTCCCGGGCGGAGCTGCTGGGACTGAGCAGTCAGCAGTCACCCTGTCATCTGCCAGCTGCCACCACTGGCCCTGCCCCAGTCCCACAGGGACTGGCCCTGCTTGGGGTGCTGGGCAGGCTCAGGGTGGGAGGAGCCAGCCGGCTGGGGACAGGTGTGTGGGAGGCCTTGGCGGGCAGGTGGCCCTTTCAGAGACAGGCGGATGTCTGGAGCGAGTGAAGCAGACAGACAGTGTCACCCCGCAGTCACCTCAGGCTTGGCTTGGGGCCACCGGGAGCTGGGACCCCCCCTTGCGGCTGCCCCCCCCCCGTCGCCCCTATTAGGTTTCTCCCCATAAAGCAGCCAGTGTCTCTGCTCGTCAGGCCGTGCCGACAATGGAGTCTGGGAGAAAGACGGGGGATGGCATCGGGGGCAGGTCCCCGCTAACACGGCTGTGAAGTCTGTGAGATGCGCGTACGGGGCAGCCGTGAGGGCCAGCCGGGGCAGGGCCAGGCCTGGGGGGGCCAGCCAGGCCCTCAATTTATGAGGGCCAAAAGTGAGCCTTAAAACTAATGTGAAATTTAAAAATTCACTAATGCGAAAGGTCCATGATATAAAAACATCAACCCTACGGGCAGACTGGACCAGGGTTCTCCTTCGCCCTCGGGCTCCAACAGCTGGGCGAGCGCAGGGCCCAGCAGGCTCACTGTGCGCGAGACCACACCGTGGGGACACGGGGCAAAGCCAGAACCGGAAACTGGATTCTCTGACTCCAGGGTTTTCACTCTGTCCTGTGCAGGTGGCCCAGGACACAGAGACAGGGGAAATGGTGCCTCCGGGCAGGGGCCCCGGCCCAGGGTCCAGCCCCCCGAGTCAGGGGCAGACCCAGGCCCTCCTTCCTTCTCGGGGCCCCTCTGCTGGCCCCTCCTTGTGTAGCTCCCCTAGATCGGATGCCCACGTGCTCCAGGCCGGGGTCTCCCATTGGTGGGAGCCTGTGCCCCACCCTGGCTGCACTTTCCCATCTCCAGAGACCTCTGAGCTCCGGGGGGGGGTGATCAGGCCTGTCTACTCCCCAGGGCAGGGTCCAGGCCCGTCTGCTGCGGCCAGATGCCCTTCGCCAGAGCAGGGCCAGCGGTGGGGGCTGACACCATGCCCTCAGGTGTGAGAATTTCGTAGCATCTAAGAGGCTGGGGGTCCTGCTCTGCAGACGCTCCTACCTGAATCCCTGGGGGCCACAGGTACGGGGGGGAGGGAGAGCTGGCTCTGGGACTGCCAGGCCACAGGAGGAAGCTCGAGGTGTGGACTGTGCCCAGAGAGGGTGTCAGCCAGGGAGAAGCTGCTCCTCACACCCCAGGGCTAAGTTCAGGGTTTGCTTGGAGTCCAAAGGGGCAAGCAACAAGCAAGGACTCGGAGCCTGCTCTCGCTCCTGTGGGCATCGCCAGCTGGCATCTAACCATCAGGCAGGAGTCTTAACCTCAAAGGCATGTATTTATCTGAAAATATTCTCCGTTCAAGCCGCAGTCTGGGTCACAAGGCAAGGAGAGGGGGAAAGGGAGGGGCGTCGTTAAAAAAGCCAGCGTGAAACCTGGCCGGGGGCCGCCCCACCTGGAGGACTTGGCTGGGACACATGCATCTGGGGCAGGCAGCTGGCCCCAAAGCCCTACTGTGCGCCCTGCCACCCGCACGCTTCCTACCTAGGGCACACAGAGAGTAGGGTGCGGCCACGGACTGCCTGGCGCCACCCCATGTGCCAGAGACGTGGCATCAGTCCTCTCGGATGCACAGGCTTTTCTGTTTCTGGGCACTTCTCCTAGGAGCCCTGACGCCCGCCCTCTGAGGACCTTAGGGCTGGTGCTGCAGACGGGCACATGTGCTCGTCCACCCCGGGAGCCAGCGGAGGCCACTGTCTCCTCTACACTGCCCTCCAGCCCCCCGCCCAGGTGTCCTGGACACGGCGCGCCTGCTCCTAGCGTGACCACAGCCTGTCCGCCAGGCCCACCTCTGGCCTCTGTCACAGGCACGAGCTGGTGGGACTGTGCACAGAGCAAGACCTCAGCCGGCCCACGCGGCGCTCACCTCCTCCGGGAAGCCCCTGACCCTGCTCCCTGAGGATTTCAGGCTCCCAGGCAGGTGAAGGGGTGAGGGGCGAGTGGGACCCGAGGGTGCAGCCTGAGCTAGACATGCCCGTTCCCGAGGCCAGGGGGCGCGCGCCCACTCGGGAGCATCATTCCTAAAGGCCCGAGGCCGCCAAGGACTCCCCCAGGGGCGTGGCTTTGATCACAGCTCTGCCGGACCCTGGGCTGCAGCACCTCGTCTGCGGGGCGCAGAGGTCGGGGGGCGCGAGGCCGGGGTGCGCGAGGGGCCGGGCTCCGGGCGACCCTCCAGCACGCTGGCCGCTG